ATTCCGGAAAAAATATGTTCCTCAGCATTTTGTTCTGGCTTTTTTGTTTTATTTTCTTCTAGGTAATATGCAACAAAGATTTGTCACCTCTTTGCTAGAAATAACTACCTCGTGAGCGAAGTTAGGTGAGATAAATTCTATCAACGAATCCCCGCATTGTTCTCGCGCATGAATTTCAGGACTTCATTCAGCAGTATGTAAAATTAAAAAGAAAAATAGCGTTCCGGATTACGCGAGTTTATAATATCTCCCAGTCATACTCCTTGTTTCCAGCATTCCCGGTCTTGAGATCCTGTTGCATGTTCATTTCTTCCTACTTCGGCAAGATTTTTTAGAGGTGTGTCCAAATGAACGAAGTAACTATTCGTCATGAAAATATGAAATAACAATGAAAAATCAACTAATTTGAGCTATGATTTGAGTCTGGATAACAATTTTCAACAATCGAGTTCTGAAAATGCAATTTTAAATTATTAAGGAATAACATTCAATCAAAGTGAAGGACAGCTTCTCAAAAAAAAAAGAAGTTTGCCATCCTGAGTGAGATGGTCCATAAACGAAGTAAAGGCACGTACGCCCGCCCAAAGTCTCTGCCCTTCTCTACTTCTACCGAGTACCAAGAGAGTGGACGAGTAAGAACTGGTTGTGCAACTGCAACCCCATTGCTTGCTCTGAGAGCCCGACAGCCTTGATCACGAAGTTGTTGACAGAAATGTTGAGACCATGGGCCTTGAGTTTTTGGCGCTCCGCAAGCAGAGCTGTGAGATCGGCATCCACCGTAGCATAAGCGTGTGGGATGCTCCGCTTCGATTCGCTCAATCGCTTCGCAATCGTGGCTCGCATGGATGACACTGCCACGTCAACATAATGCGCAGTCTCTACGCTTTGTTTCGGCGCCTCGACCACCTTTGCAACTTTCTGAACCGGTTCTGAAGACAAATAACTATACTTCACATCAGATTTTGAGGTCTATTTCAAAGAGGAGTTCTGGCTTGCTCAATCTGCTCCTTAGAGAGTCATTGCCAAAAGTGGCATATTGCTAAAAACCAGGGTAGCCCTAGAAGGGGTTTATTATCCTCAAGAATTGTTGAATTACAACGAATTTATTTTGGCCCCTAGAATTTTGTTGCGGAGAGAGTCCAACGGAATCAAGTTTGGACATTTGAATCCATTAATTACATGCATCTGCTGATTGTTTCAAAACTTACTGGATAAACCAACAACAAAAAACCGTCAACCTTTTTCTCTCGCCGCTTCCAAGTTTCTGAAAAGTGTACGCCAATCACAAAATTTTACTTCAAAATTAATTTGAGTGAATAAATGTCTGTTGAAGAATTTTTTCAAAGGTTTATCTCTATTTTTTAAGAAGACAAATCCTGAAACACTCCTAGTTTCACTCACCAGGCTTGATTTCCACTGCCTTCAAGTTTTTCAATTTGATGAAATCAAGAACATCACCCTTTGTGAGCCTCCCATAGGGACCAGTACCCGTCACATCATCGGGAAGAATTCCATGTGCCGTCAACAGGTTCCGAACGGCGGGGCCGATGCTTCTGTAAGGAAAGAAAATAATCATATTCATTCGAACATAAATCTGGGACAATCAAAGAAACCTGTGAATGAATTACTAACCTTGGTGATGATTGATGAGTGTCTACTTGAGTAGGCGCCGAGACAGCTTCTGGTTTGTCAGTGGTGGTCGTGGTTCCTTCAGGCATTTCCACGGATTTCCAATCCACACCTGGTTCCACCATCAGTGCAATAAGGGATCCCAGAGCCACGTTCAGCGAGTTATCGGGTTTCTGCGCTTCAATGCATCCATTAATTCCAACGACTGCATCGTCACGTACTAGCTGGAACCTACCAAAATTTTTGCTAGAATGCCTTCTTCCTCCACCTCAAAACCAACAACAGCCTTGTCCGTTTGAATATCGCATAGTACGTCACCCGCTTTGATTTCGTCTCCCTCCTTCTTGTACCAGTTGACAATAGTTCCTTCCGACATCGTCGGAGACAAGGATGGCATCTTGACAGCCTCACCCTTCACTAAAAAATTTCCAGCAAATGTTTAACTACCAGCAGGATATCACGAATGCGAAAAATTGAAAGGCTGGATTTGATATAGGGTAAGTACAAGATGAGAAAACCCCCGTGAAATATAACCTAAAAATTAATTACGGGGGCAGTTCAAAACTGAGCCCTACGAGACACCCAAAAAACTGTCGAAATCGGTAACAAATTCGCAGCTAAACTTCGATTTCATGAGCATTCCTACCGCTCAACGAAGGCTGTCGCAAAAAATATCACCAACAAGCTTTCCATGAGACTATCGACTCTGCGTCGTTCAAGTTTATTTTTAATGTACTTCGTACGCTTTTTCTGTCACGTGTGTGTAGAAGAAAAAAAAACAGACCAGAGAAAGATGAAAATCAGATATTTCTTCCAGCGGGAATAATTTCAGAATATCACGGAACATCAGATTTCATGCGATTAACTCGAATTCTTCGCCGTTTGTGCGAACTTGAAAAGCGGGAGATCTTACCTGCACAAACGCGGGATGCGTGTAGGCCATGCCGCAAGATCCGATCATGGCATGTAATGCGAGTAAGGAAACGAAACATTCTTCCCACCGCTCACTAAAGAATTTCTACGAGATTTTCTTTAAAAAATCGGCACGATAAGACCAGACATGCTCTTGATTCCGTACAACTACGACGATAACAAGTCTTGTTCCAAGAAGCGCTATAAGGAATCACGATTCAGAAATGAAAACTGAGATTTCCCAGCGCGAAGGGTAAAAACAAACCGCACTGGCAAAATTTAAATCACACTAGCGTCCTGTTCTGAGTGCTCCTATGAGGGCAACACGGAGGTCTTAATTTTGATCAGTTATGATTCCTGAACGGATCTTTCAAGAGATGTCAGACGAATACACACTTATAAATCCATACACTTCCGCAATTCGGTCGAAGAAATTTCGAATTGATCACTGCTAGTGCCAACAGAATAACCTTCAGCACCGGACTTCCAACCTCACTGTCACTGGCTTGGGCGCCGCCATGTTTCACCATTGCTGCACTCCATCCATCCAAGGTTGCTCTAATTCTTCGCCTCTTCAATGCCCTCGTGTAACTGCTGCTGAAAAGTCTGTAGCCAAAAATATACAGTATATACAATCACTTTGATTCGTCAATGACCTTAACAGTCAATAATAGAGCCACAATTCAGAATCAACATTTTTAAATGAGAGCCCAGAACATTTTCTTGATTCCATTGGTAAAATGTGGATCTCATACATATTCTCAATGGCTGCTGGATTCAATCCTGGAATACAAGAGTAAAAAAAAAAGCGTTTGTACGCCTGTACGCTTTCAGTTTTAATGACATAGCTCAACTTTGCTCTCCAGCCGATGAAATCGCGTGCAATTTTTGATTTTTTTTTGTAATTCTGAAATGTATGAAAGTTTTGAAGACCTCTATGAGACAGCAATTATTCTAAACAAGTGCCGGTGATCAGCTTTGTCTGACGCAATTGCTGCACCAAAAGCTTTTTTGCTGGGTGACAGTGATGGTACTGAATCTGTGACTTTCAGCTTCAATAAAAATATTCTTCAAATAAAGAAATAAGTACTGTATCACATTAAATTATGATTGGTGATATTCTGGACCTTAAATTGTCTCTCAAATGAGTTAACAGGATGCTGAACTTCAAGTTACTGTTCATTTTTTGCTTTTACCTTCCCCATGTCAATAACACTCATACAAATGGTTTTAACCCTCAGATGATGGCAGAGGGTTGAAATCCATCCTGAGACAGAGCCACAACATTTTTGCAGGCTGATGCATTTTGGTTTGACCAAAGGTCACCCAAATGCAGAGCTGAAGTCCAGAAAAATTGGGAAAGTTAAACCTATTGTTATTTAAGCCCCTCAATACTAATCATATGGTAGGAATGCTGGAAAAATGCCAGCCATCATATCAGAAAATACATTGTTTCAAAAATTGTCTGATTAAAGATTAAAAAAACGATTGTGATTCTCTAGAGTCTAGACTTTGGCTTTCCTGATTGGTATACATTTTTTATATTCATTTTATTTTCGTGTTTCATGGCACCACATTTTTTGAATACTGTATTTCTTAGCTCTGCTGCATAAGGGTTACATTATTGCGTTGTTCCTAAGGGAATTCCAACAAAGGCCGACGTAAACAATTCAACTCAGGATAGAGGTTCCAATTATGGAGCTTCAGCTGTACATGCATCTCAAAGGTGTGGAAAGGCATCTGATCTTTATTTAAGAAGCATGCAAGAGTTTGTTGGCGTAATAATAAGGCACACCGGGTGCAAACCAGCAGCAGTTTCGGGATAATCACCGGATTTCCGAGCGGAAAACTGTGCATTGCCCGCAGCTGAGTCAACACGCTCTGAATCCTCGACGGGTTTTCACCGCAGGAAGCCGGAGAAAACATTCAAGACCAAGAAGGAGTCTTCAGGAAGCGGAGATCTGCTGCACAGGTTCCGCCTCAAGCAACGGGATGAATGGGATCTCTTCCGGCAAACGCTTCCCGAAACCCCCGCCGCTTCTCCGTCAAATCATCGATCGGATTCGGGTCCAGCTCTTCCTGAGTAGTTCATTCTCCCGTTTTCCGCCGAGTTCGGATTTCCGCATCGATAAAGATTCGAATCGCTTTTGCGGTCTTTGAAAAGCGCATAATGATCTCTTCGGCCGCCTGGACGAATCTCGGAGCTATCCACTTTCATTTCAACTGATGCTTCCCGCTGCGTGAATAACAGCATCCCGAATCCATTGCATTATATACTGTACTTCTGTAAAAACCTTTCACAATAGTGCACCCCGGGTTCACAATACAGCTTCCCTTTCCTAAATCACACATGATATATTTATTCGATTGCCGCGCTCGTTATTTCAAAAAATACCCCTTAAATGCGTCCATTTCCAGTGACGCATTTGCCATTGCAATGAACTCCCCTTAAACAGCGTCGTGCATATATTGGGGGATGCATTCTCAACAGTGAAACGTTGTTTCCCAGAAAAAATTGGCTGGTATTTCATCCATTTTTAGCACAAAAAAGGTGTATAGGGACATTTAGGTCTGATTTGCAAATTCATTATTTGAAAAGGTACAACTTTTGCGTCATAAGTAACCAGCAGGCTCACATATGCATGAAAATAAGTAAATATTTTAATAATTGATGCCACATCAAACATTCATCATTCTAGTTTGCAAGATGAATAGAGCTCCATGTCTTTCATCTCAAAGCTGAACTTGGATGACTCAAACCTCCCTGCAGTCAGTCAAATTTTAAAAACACAATCCCTGTATATACTCCGTTAGAATCAATACATGAAAAACCACACAATTTAAAGGCTTTTCTTCTTGAACCTCTATAGCTCAAATTTTCTCAAGGCCATTTGGCTATCATTTAATTGGAACAAGGAAGAAAAATATTAACAGAGATGTATCTTGATGTGTTTTATTGAAAGGGAGTGAGAGATTAATCAGGCAAATGAACCATTGCCTCCAATAAGTCCAGCATCCTGTCAACTCATTTAAAAAGTAATTTAAGGCCCAGAATATCACCAATTACAATTTCCTGCAATTAATTCTCATTTCTTTCCCCCCAACACAAATGCTCGTTTCTCCAACTTGAAACCCATAACTCATATTTTTGTTTTGGTCCCTTATTGAAGTTCCACTTAGAGGTTTGACTGTACTGTATAATCACTTTTCAAAATGAGTTTGAGGATGGCGCACATCATCAATAATATTATGTCATACGCACATATAAGTAATTTTCTTTTGTGAAAATGCTCCTGTTGTTCAATGTGCTGTTCAGTATTTCTTTGTGCAAGTTTCTGGATCAACGCAGTTCATCTTTATGGTTATTAAGCTAGTACAGTATAAGATTTTGTGGGATATGTTTTATTTTTTCACCAGGAAAATACCACTGTTGACTGCAAAGTAGAAGTTCCATATGTTCCGAAGCCGAATCAAAAACGCCCTCAGAAAGCCTAAAGTGGCTTTAATCCAGTTGAAGGTTTTCACCCATAAACTGGGTAACCCATTTCGCGAGATTCGGGATTATCCAAGAGGCCAGTGATTAGTATTCCCGCATCGATAAAACCGTTGCTGGTGTTTCTCCAACTCCAACTGCATTTTAACAGTACTTTATGTCCACCTAACAGGTTTCCTGCAAAGATTTCTTCGTGATCATCGCTCAAAATCTCTCATTGAATTTTCCCTTTCATTTTTGATTCTTATGAACCATTCGAATCGTTAACTTTTTGAATGGGTGCCGACGAAAAATCTAAATTCGCCGATCATGCGAAAAATTCATGAAGAAGAATGCGAAATTCCTATCTTAGACGAACTCGGGTAACAGCTATCAGCCGTAATGCGAAATCTCCTGAAGTCTCAGAGCTGCTGAAATGAGAAAAAATACAAACTATTGAAGTCGAAATTCGAAGTACAATACAGTATACCGTAGATAGCTCATTTTCCGAGTATATATAATCTTGGACAAAAATCATGAAGCATATTGAATTTTCTAAAATCGTGGCGTGATTGATGTTCCTGCGCATTACATTGATTACATAATAGCCCGGAAAATGATCAGAAAAAAGCGGTTTGATCTTACTTGCAGTGCTTGAATAAACTAGCTCTTTTTTTCATAAGACATCAATAGTTCCAGAATTCAGAAGACTAGGTTGTCAGAATTCATTTGCATCAGCAGAAAAAACGCAGACGTTCTTTTGAAATTTTAACAGAATTTTATCAGTCTGAAATTTTTCAGGAATGACGTCATAAACAATAATGCTTGAAAATACAATCTCAGCATCGGGAATCGAGTTTCAATAAAATCAAAGGGATGTGGGCCAGAAAGAATACTGTATTTAAGAAATCATATATACTGTACAATATCCTGCAACATAATCACGAATGTTGGGGTTATTCACGCAAGTAAAGGCTTAGAAAAACAGCTTTAATTTACGGTGACTAATTTCATCACATGGAACCCACTGGTGGCCTCTGTTGTTCTCGTTCGATCAAACTGTGCGTTATTCTCGCAGGTCCTTTCACCTAGTTTCAACCGAAGGAACGCAGAAAAGTTCGTTATGCAGCAGTTTCCGTCATTTCGAAAAAAAATTCCCTGGTTTTCATCACAGCAAACCGCAAGCTAGGAGAGAAATTTTTCAAGAATTCAGGCATTCACTTGAAAGTCATACACAGCATAGAAAATATTCTAAGGAAAGATGACCCAATAGCCTAAATGCGATGAATTCGAGCTTACATGTATAGGCCTGAGGTGCATCATCATTTTAAATTATTTTCAAGTCTCAGCAATGAAAACTTATTTTAGAAAAAGCTCTCGAGCCAGTATGGGAAGCTTTGCTTTACAATATTCAAGAATTTCAAGCAAAGGTTCTGATGTCACGCAGAAGAGATAAATCAAACAATTATTAAAATCCTGTGTTTCCTAAACCATCAGTGTCCCAAACATTTGACCAGCAAACGCCCATAACCTTTTCGCAGACCAGCAAATTAAACGAAAATGTTTGCAGACCATCATACATTTTTTAAATGCCTGTGATGAAGTCCTCTAAACAAAGCTTCCATTGCAAAAATTAAGTTAAGAACCAATTAAGCAGCTACAATGAAA